TTCTCCTCTTCGCTCCTTGACTTCCTCACATTGATGCCTTTCGCTGGATAAAAAGTCATAGGCATGAACTTCCGGCGCTCCGTGCGGATTTCTTGGATCTGCGGCGGATCCCCCTTCCCTGGCGCGCGGAGCGCGCCTGGGGCGGCGCCGGAGGCGCCGCCGGGGGGGCCACGCGCGGATCCAAGAAATCCGCGCGGAGCGCCAAAATTTACGTTTATGGCGATTTGTTCCTCTTCGATGGATGCGGCCACGACTCTGACTCTCGCACCTCGTGATGACCCGGAAGCTCCATCACGGAACCCAACCTCGGGACCCAACAGTATTCGGGGGCGGCGCCTGCGCCGAAGCAGAGGACGCCTTTCGGCCGAAGGCCGTTTGACGCGTGTGTCTATGTTCGTCGCTTCCCGCCTCCCTCCCCGCCGTCGCTGGTCGCCTCCTCCTCCCCGCTTTCATGGTGGCCCGATTCGCGTATGCCTACATCATGCCCACTATCGACAGCGCAGTTTCTCTGCCTGGCCGCCGACGTAAAATAAATTAATGTTCGAGGGCGTCTAGCGAAGCCCAAATCATGGCCCGAGGCACGTGCGCCGACGGGTGTCGGCCAGAGTATGCGTTGAAAGAAAAGGAGGGGCCAAGAAATCTGGGAGACGACATGGCCCAGGCCATGAGGCCCCCTAGTCATCACCCCCTTCTTGGAAGCCATGGAGATCTAGACTCTGGCAAGTTTACTTACTTGGCATTTCCAACCCCGCCATTTCAAGCAACGCTGGGCCGACAAGGCGTGCGAGTGGGTCCCGACTCGCGTGAAGTCCAGATTTCCTTCCAGGCCTCGCCACGCGCCCGGCCTCCATGCAAGCGAACGTGGCTGGAGCCAGAAGAAAAGCTGCCCCTTCTCGCTCCACGGCGACCCAAAGCCTTCCCCTGAATGTCGAGGTCGCGGAACAACTACAAAACAGCGGCAAAAACAAAACCGAAACCCTGGGCCCTGGAGCCCATCTCTCGGCGGAATCTTCCGAGCCAGATCTATGTGTGATGTCTTCAGCGTCCGAAGCAAGGGGACAAAAACCCGTCGCCAAAACATGCGACGCCATCCCCGACCCCGCACGTCATCATGTGTTACTGACGTGGGCCCCAGCGGTCTGGACACTTTCCCCTGGACCCGTTTTGCTTCGCCTGAGTAGTCTTTTGTTGACGGCCCCGGGACCCGCCGAGGGCCCCCAGAGACCTAAAGCGGCGAGACACCTCCGGCTTTGCTTTCTCCAGAACGCGAGCAAATCCGGGATGTGATCTCGGGGCCCGGCGCGGTGCCTGCAGCGGCCAGGGCTCCACATCGCGCCGCATCGCCGCTGCATCGGCGATGCGGTGCGACCTTCCCGCCCCATCCACTCGGACCCCATCACACCGACGACGAGGGACCGGGTCCTTACGCGAGGCGGCATAGTGACCTTGCGCCGCGGATTACGCTTAAGTCGCGCATGCTCCCTACAAGCGGATTTTTGATTAAAAATCCAACAAAAAACGCAACCAACGTCCCGACAACATCAAACAACAACTCAAGAAATAGTCCCTGGATTTTTTGTTGGACAATGTTTGAATATTCCTCCTGCAGAGGGACCCGACTTAGATTACGCGGGCCAGAAGCGCGGCACGCCACACTGGAAACGACGGGCAAACCCACGCGCCACCCTACGCGACAGAAACTAATAAAAAAACGTCTCCTACTTCGCCGGCCCAACGGGCCAGAGGCGTGCTAAGATCTCCGGTAACTGCTCAACAATATTTCTAATTCGCGCGCGCGGGGCGGGCCCTGGGGGTCCCCGGACGAAAAGTACCCCGGCAAGGTCCCGGCAAGGTCCTGGCAAGGTCCCGGTACTCCCGGCAAGGTCCCTTTTCGGAGCCCAGGAGGGCTCCAAACGGTCCAAGAGAGGCCCGAGAAGCCCTCCAGACGGTCCAAGAGAGCCAGGAGACGCCGAAATATCACTCCCAAACGCCTGCGATGGCCTCAAGACGGCCCAACAGGCCTTCAAGACGCCCCAAGAGGTCCCTAAGCGGCGCCCCACGAGGGCTCCCACAAGCAAAAACCGTCCCATTCCCTTAGGAAAACGTGCATTTTTAACATATCCGCCTCTTCGTCTGTCACACCTTTCAAGGCGGTCCAAGAGGCCCCCAAGATCACCCCAAGACGGCCCGAGAGACCCTCAAGACCGCTCAAAGACGGCCCAAGAGCGCTCAAAGAAGGCCCAACAAACCCTCAAGAACTCTTTTTCGGAGCCCAGGAGGGCTCCAAATCGGTCCAAGAGGGGCCCGAGAAGCCCTCCAGAAGGTCCAAGAGAGCCGGGAGACGCCGAAATATCACCCCCAAGCGCCTACGATGGCCTCAAGACGGCCCAACAGGCCTTCAAGACGCCCCAAGAGGTCCCTAAGCGGCGTCCCAAGAGGGCTCCCACAAGCAAAAACCGTCTCATTCCCTTCGGAAAACGTGCATTTTTAACATATCCGCCTCTTCGTCTTTCACACCTTTCAATGCGGTCCAAGAGGCCCCCAAGATCACCCCAAGACGGCCCGAGAGACCCTCAAGACCGCTCAAAGACGGCCCAAGAGCGCTCAAAGAAGGCCCAACAAACCCTCAAGAACTCTTTTTCGGAGCCCAGGAGGGCTCCAAATCGGTCCAAGAGGGGCCCGAGAAGCCCTCCAGACGGTCCAAGAGAGCCGGGAGACGCCGAAATATCACCCCCAAGCGCCTACGATGGCCTCAAGACGGCCCAACAGGCCTTCAAGACGCCCCAAGAGGTCCCTAAGCGGCGTCCCAAGAGGGCTCCCACAAGCAAAAACCGTCTCATTCCCTTAGGAAAGCGTGCATTTTTAACATATCCGCCTCTTCGTCTTTCACACCTTTCAAGGCGGTCCAAGAGGCCCCCAAGATCACCCCAAGACGGCCCGAGAGACCCTCAAGACCGCTCAAAGACGGCCCAAGAGCGCTCCAAGAAGGCCCAAGAAACCCTCAAGACGGTCCAAGAGGCCCCAAGACGGCCCCATGATTGAGGTCCACAGGGGCAACCTGAACGGAAATTTTGAGCCTCCCGCCCAAACACGCCCCCGAAATGCCCCTACAAGCCCCCAAGTAGCCCCACGAAGCCCCCAAGAGAGCCCCAAGAGGCCCCCCAACAGGCCGCAAGAAAGCCCCAAGAGGCCCCCAAGAGACCCCCAGGAAGCTCCCAGGAGGCCCCCAAGAGGCCAGGCAGACCCCCCCAAGAGACCACCAAGAGGGCCCACCCAGAGCCATCCACGAGGCCTCCCGAAGTTCCCAAGAAGCTCCCACGAAGCTTCCAAGGGCTCCCAAGACCCCCCAAGAACCCGCGATGGCACAGTACGGGCCGGCGGAATGTGCGAAGCGATTCAATAAAAACACGTCTCAATACTATCGTAACCCGGACCCGCAAAAATTACGGCCGCGACGCCCTCTCGCGAACCGAAAATTGCCAATTCGCTAATCGACGTGTCAGGGCAGGAGGTCCATCAACTTCCGAGAAATGGAAGGCAAAATAAGCCCTTCGGGTTGGGTTGGTTTGGTGGGCGGTGAACACCCGACTGGGATCTCAAGGCTCGGCGCGGTGCCTGCGACCGCTCGCCCGCGCCCGCTCCCGGTGGCCGCCGGGCCAGCGAAGCACGCGACGCCCGCCAACCCGCGCAGCGGACCGCTGGCCAGCGCGGCCGCCGCCGCCGCTCCAGCGGCAACCGCGCGCCACCGCGGGGGGCCATGGCGGGCGCGGGCGGGCAGCATGGGCACGTCGGGTCGGACGATACGGGGGGTCGGTGAGCAGCCCTGAGATCCTGGCTGGTGCGTCGCTGACTGGGGAGGGCGACAGCTGGAGGGGAGGAAGGGTGCACCATGCAAGCCCTGGAGGCCCCCACTTGGGTCCTGAAGGGCCCCTTTTGAGAACCCTAAAGGGCTCCGTTTCTGCAGCCCTCGCTGCCCACCCATATACATATATCGCCCCCCCATTACACGGCGCCCAAATGTCGTTGCAATGTGTTGAGCCGGGCGTTTTCGCATTGTCTCCGGCCTCGGAACCCTCACAAAGCAATCTGGCTCGAGACATGGCGCAAGAAGATGGCGCCACGGGCTGTGGCCATGCTGATGTTATGATCTAATCCTTCTCCGCGGCGTCTGCTCCCACGGGTCAGCAGTGGGGCTCGGCAGATCGGCTCCTGAGGCTGGTTTTCCCGGCGCCTCCAAGCACCTGCAGCGCCAACGTGTTGCGGGAGGCGCCCGGCGGCGGGGCCGAGACCGGCTGCATGCAACAATTCCCGCACTCCTCCGCTTCTCCCAGCAAACCACTTCGTCCGACCCGAGCACGGGGGCGGCCCAGGAGGGGGGGGGGGGGGGGGCAGAGCAGGCCCGAGCCTCTGGCGGCAGGAGCAGCAGGAAGAGAAGCACACGGACAGGAATAGTGGGCCACATGCGGACCCTACTCCAGATTTCGTAATAGAGGGAGGGGGTCTGGACCCTCCAAGACAAGCCATTTCAGACCTCCCCTGTGGGAGAACCCTCCAAAACATCGTCACCAGACCCCCCCAGGCCCTCCAAGATAGCCTGGAAGAGACCCCCCCCGAAATGAGACCCCCCTCCCTTTATTACGAAATCTGGAGTACACGGACAAGAATAGTGGGCCACATGCGGACCCTACCCCCCACGACTTCCGAGGGGGAGGGTTCGCATGTGGCCCCCTAGAGAAATTCTTGCCGTCGCTGGGACGCCCATGCCCCGTGCCTTGTCCCGTCCCGTGGGCGCTGTGATCCCACGAGGATCCAACATGCTCCACGGCGGCCCGCGGAGTTGCCCCAACGGTCTGCTCGGACGCGCCCGTGGCTCAGTCGGGGCAGCCAGGAGTCGGCCCGGCGACGCTCCCTGCGGGCGAGGAGGCGCCACCGCCGCGCCCGCCGGGCACGGAAGAGAGCCCCCAGGTCTGGGAGCGCCACCTCTCGCCAAAGAAGGGACTATGACGCACGCGCGCGGGGAGAGTTGCTGGAAGTACTCGGGCAACAAGACCACGAAAATCTGCCGCCACGGCTTCTACTGCATCGTCACGCTCGTGGACTGGCGCAGGTGCAGGCGAGGGAAGCCCCTCCTGACCGCCATGTTCGCGGTGCGGTCCTTGACGCGCGGCATGCAGGGTCGTCCGTTGCACTTCCAGCTCCGCCCGTCAGAATGCATCACCGACCACGTCAGAGGGAGGGATGGAGGGAGGGGAGGGCGGGAGGGAGGGAGAGAGGAAGGGGGGATGCACGCGGCTGGGAGCTTCAACCTGGATGCAGGACCTCCGACAGGTCAGCGACCCGAGGGCGTGGTTGGACAAGGGCGAAGAGCTTCCGCGCGTCGGCTCGCGGCCAAACTCGGGATACACGAGCGCGCGCGAGCCGAGCGATGCCGACGCTTGGGTCAAACGCCCAGAGGTGCTGGAAGAGCCGCTCGCGTGGACGGACGACTGCTCGCTAGAGGAGTGGCGGGACATTATGCTGCAATGCCCGACGAAGCACGCGAAGAGCGAGGACACGGAGGACGCGGGCGCCACGGCCGCCTTTGCGGACCAGTTGGATGTGGCCACCCAGGTCACCTTCAGCGACGGCCTGAACATGGGCTTCTACATCAACTCGCACGCGACGGAGCAGTGCCCCGGCATGGAGGATGTCCTCGCGGAGATGCGGCGCGGCCTGGACCTGGAACGGCTGCAGGCACAACGACAGGCATAGCAGAAGAAGATGAGGATGGAGCTACAGCAACGCGGAAAAGACCCCGAGAAGTCTCTGCCCGCCGCCGACCGGAGAGCGCTCGGGGTCAATTCCAGGTTCGGAGAGACGCTGGATCCGCTCAAGAATCTGTCCGCGCCGTACCGCCGATGCCACTGGAAGAGTGGGGCATAGATATTCCCGATCTTCTATGGCCACCGCACCTACGCGTCCCATCGATGCTGGAAGATGTTCATCAAGAAGGGCGTCTTCCTGGCGGCGAAGGCGTGGAGACGCGAGTACCCGCGCTCTCTCCGGCGAAGAGAAAGCAGGACGCGAACCGCGCCTTTGCGCGAGGGGAAAGACGATGACGGGCAGGCGGTGTACGCTTGTGATGTCAGGGGGTGCGAATGCCTGTGTTTTCAATTACATGTTCGGGAATTCCCAACTTGTGCAGGGCAACTATCCAGCTGATTCCAAATAGATCCCGGTTGACATATCATTCGCAGTTGATAAGAACTGAACACAACCCAAATCCAGCTGATCCCACATGGACTTCAATTGGGATCTAATTCGGATCCAATTGGGATAAACGGATTCCACATCCAGGCGATTCAAGTTAGAGTCCTAAGGCTACACAACTAAATCTATGTGAAATTGAGCAAGTCCCAAATCCACATGGTTCTCATGTGATTTATGTTGGGGCGCACTTGAACTTTGAATGGGCTCGGGGACATCCCAGATCCAGCTGAGTCCAAGCGGACTTCGGATTGGAACCGAATGATACTCGGAATTGATATGTGCAGGCCAGACATCCAGCTGACTCCAAGTCGATTCCGACTGAAATGGGCTTCGAGTATTACTGGAATTCTTCGGATCCCATATACAGCGAATTCGGATTTGATTCGCACTGGAATCGGCACCTGGTCGAAGTGGAATGGGGCACATCCAAGACACAGCTTTTTTCCAATGTGGATTCCTACTGCAATATGATTACACGCAAACTGGGATTGGAGAGGTGCCAGATCCAGCTGCCCAGTGGGACTCCTTTTGGCCTAGAATCAGGATCAGCAGATCCAAGATCCAGTTAGTTCCAATTCGATTCCAGCACTAGGCAACAGCGAAGCAATGACGAATGGAACAGATGATCAGTCGCGGATGAAGCGAGGGCGGGTGATAACTGAAGTACGAATGAAAATGTCAAAAACGGATGCTGAATGAATGGGCGCTGGGGGGCGGGCTGCGCGCGCGCGCTCTCTTCGTCGGCGGCGAGTCCGCCCCAGCGAGAAGCTCGAACGGAGCATTGACTGGCGAATTGACCGGCGGGCAAAGCGGGGGGGGGCGCCGAGAGGAAAACGGGGCGCTCAGACGTCAAAGGGTTCAGCGATGAGAAGCCGGGGGAGGGGGGGGGGGGCTGCAGCAGCCAGGCGTGCAGGGCCGAAGCGCGGCGGGCGGCCGCGGCAGACGGCGGCGAGGGCGGCGGGAGGGCGGCTGCCAGAAGCTGGAGTTGGCGGGCGGGCGCCGCGGGACATCGCGAACGGCAGAGGTACCCGCCGCGCCGAGGAGTGGGCGCAGCATTGAGCCGCGCAGAGGCAGGAGCAACGCAGCCAGATGGCTGGCAGCGACGCGGGCATTGCGGCGCGACCGCCCAAGGGCGCGCCAGGTGGCCAGGGGCCAAGACAGCTGGGGCAGGAAGCGGCGGGCGAAGCGTCCCAGGCGCCCGCGGGCGGCGGGGCGGAACGGCATCGCAACGGGAGGAAGCGCGGGGCTGCCGGGAGGAGGTGGCAACGCAGCCAGGTGGCTGGCAGCGACAGGAGCATGGCGGCGCGACCGCCCGAGGACGCGCGAGGCGGCCAGATGGCAGAGAGGGGCGGGACAGGCGGCGGCGGGCCAGTCGCCCCAAGCGCCCGCAGGCGGCGGGGGGGAACAACAACGCAACGAGAGGAGGCAGCGCAGGGCAGCCGCAGTCCGGGTCGCGACGCAGCAGGGCGGCCCAATTGGCTACCCAGCGCGGCGCAGCAGAGCGGCGCCGAAATGGCGCACGGGGCAGCGCGCGAGCGACGCGCGCCCCAAACGGGATGCGCATCGCGAAGGGGCGCGACGGGGGGCGCTGATGCAGCAGCCGGGCGACGACGCTGGGCGGCCCAATGGGCGGCCCAGCGTGGCGCAGCAGAGAAGCGCCGACATGGCGCAGGGATCAGCGAGTGAGCGACGCGCGCCCCAAACGGCAGGCGCGTCGCGACGGGGCGGCGGCGGGGGGCGCCGAAGGCCGCAGAAGCGGGGCAACGGCGCTGGGCGGCCCAATCCCAATCGGCGGCCAAGCGCGGCGGAGCGGAGCACCGCCGAAGTGGCGCAAAGGGCAGCGCGCGAGCGATGCGCGCCCCAAACGCGAGGTACGTCGCAAGGAGGAGAGGCGAGGGAGGGCGCCGAGGAGGTGCCATGCCGGGCGCAGAGAAGCGCCCAGCCCAGAGGGCCATGCGCCCCACGCAGAGCGGTCTGTCGCAGCGGAAAAGCGAGGGGCACCAGGGCGGTGCAAGGAGCGGCGAAGGCCGGCGTCGCGCGCCCCAATGGTCGGCGCGACGCCATGGCGAGGGGGGGGGGAAGGAGGTTGGCCATGCGCAGTGCGGCGCGGCGCCCGCAGGCGGCACGCCCCGCAGAGGTGCTGAGCGCAGCCGGGCGGCGTTGGCGGCGGCGGCGCCACCAGTGTCGAGCGCCGGGAGGGGGGGGGGGCGCCAGGGGCGTTGCCCCAGGCAGTGTCAAAGCGGCGCTTGCCGGGATTGCCGCCTGCATCGCGCCCCTTGCCTTGCTCGGCGGCCTCGCGCCCCCGCGTCTCTCGCCCGCGCGCGATCTCGGCCTGCTGGTCGCGCCAGACCTGGCCCGAGCCCGCGCGGGCACCTCCACGCCAGCAATTTCTTGATGTCGAAGTGACAGCGCCGCAGCTCGGCCATGAACTTTCGGCAAGTCCTCGCTGGCAAGCGGGTTGCATCGCCCTTTGCCGACGCCCTTGTTGTCACGCTTGCCGCAAGCGCGCTTCCAACCTTCGACGTAATAAAACCAGCCTCGATCTGCAGACGCTTGGCGACGGCGCCCCAGATCGCTAGGGCGCCTTGGGCGTGCATGCGCTTAAGCTTAAACACAAGGCGGGGCCGTGGCTGGCGGTGCAACCTGTCGCCCACGTCGAGCCAAGCTCGGTCAGCGCGGTCGTCGGGCCAGGTTGGGTCCCGCATGCTGTCCATGCGCCTGTCGATTTCGCGCCCGGCGCTGGCGGCGGCCTGCCTTGCCTCCTGCAGCCAGTCGGGGTAGCTGCCGCGCGCCCTTGTCGACCCGCTGGGCGCGGAGCCTGGCCCGGGCAGCCCGGCGGCGCGCGGCTGGGCCAGGGCGCGGTCGCCCTCGGCGCTCGAGCTGCCGTCCTCGGCGCTCGAGCTGCCGACGTTCGTCGCCGCGCGGGCGGGGCGGCGGGGCGAAGCGACCGCGGAATAATGGGGGGGCCAGTCGCGATGTCCGCCGGAGCCGCCCCGCGGCCGGGCCAGCGCAGCCTCGGCAGGACGCAGGGTGGGGCGCCAGGCGCCGCCGCGTCTGGGCGGCGGCACGCGACCCACATGCGTGAGACGGCGCACTGGGGCACCAATGTCAATGTCCAGCAGTGGCGACGAACGACTTGCGGCGTCCAGGGCGATGCGCGAGCGTTCTACAATCCCTCCGCGGCGACGACGACCACCACCCCCCAGTGCCGGCGACCCTAGCGCCACCGCGCGCCACGGCAGAGGCGTCACCGAACCGGCGGAAGGCAGGCGCGAACCCTTCCTGGGGAGGGGCCTGGTCGACTGCCGGGTCCGCGACGACGCAATTCTGGCAAGAGTGGCTTCGCGTCGACGCGCGCGGCCTGACCCGCCAGGGGGGCTCGTGGCCGCGGGGTCGTCGGTGGTCTTCGCCGCGAACCTCCCCTGCCCCCCGTCGCCAGGGCCCCCGGCCCTCTTCCGGAGATGTTTCCTTCCAGCCGGGGGGCAACTCAGCGGGGCCGTCGCGGGCCAGGGCGAATCGGGCGCCGCGGGGCGCGGCGCGGGGAGGGCCGCGGCACCCGCGGCCAAATTCCCCAGTCTATCATCTCCTCCGCTGGGGGGGCGGCGCGCGGTGGCCGCGGCCTGTCGGAGCGAGCCGGGCACCCTGGGAGAGCTCTCGGCGACGCGCGCAGTCATGATGCAACTCGGGGGGGCAGTCGTCGGGCGGAACGAGTCGGGCGCCCCGGGGGAGCTCGGCGAGCGGCGCAGCGGCGAGAAGGGGGGCCGTCCTGCCGTTGCTCCCGGGCGTGGCGGGTCTGCAACGTCGCCTGCTCCCCACCCCCATCCTTCGGGGGGCGGGGCGAGGGGCTGGGGCCAGGGCGGGGGCAGCAACGTAGGGGGCTTGTCCTTGGCCCCCCCAGGAGCTATTCTCTCAGCCTGGCACATAGTGGCGAGGCCCTCAGTGCGATCATCAGCCGCGAGCCCGATCGGGCCCCGCAAGTTCGGCGGGCTCTGCGCGCCCGCCTCCCCGTCGACCGCGCCTCCGCCGCTCCCCAGCTTCGCTGGGCGTCAGCACTTGGATGCCGAAATCGCCCGCCGCGGCAGCGGAGCCAGCGGGCTGGTCCTGGGGCAGCTCGCTCGACCGCGCGCCCAGCCCGCCGCGGGAACCTCGGGGGCCGCCTCGATGTCCTCTGGATTGTCGGCGATTTTCCGGCCAGCGGGCGGCGGCGGGCACCCTGGCCACGTGCCAGACGTAGCGCGCCGTCGCCTGCATTGTTGTTGTTGTTGTTGGGGGGCATGCACGCCCGGACGGCGGCCCCCGCCGACCTATCCAAAGACGAAGCGTACAGGCCGACACGAGATACCCGCAAGGAGGAAGGGGGAGGCGGAGCAGGAGGAGGGGGAGGAGGGGGAGGAGGAGGAGGGGGAGGGGGAGCAGGGGAGGAGAGGGTATCTCGTAGCGGGCCACAGGGACACCCAAACACTCGTTTGCGCAGGGTCCAAATGGTGGGCGGTTCCCCCTTG